AGATAGATAGATAGATAGATAGATAGATAGATAGATAGATAGATAGATAGATAGAGTAAAATAGATGGATGGATGGATAGATGGAAGGATAGACTGATAGATGGATGGATGGAGAGACTAATGGACGGATTAATGGATGGATAGATAAGTCTCTGTCCTTGATACAAATTAATACAGTACTACGTTTGTCTTACTCTTAGTTGGTAATGAGGAAGCCTACGTGGCGAAACGTTAAGCCAATCTACAATTCAATTTGATGCTGATGATTATGTTTATTTTACCAGGTTCCTGACGAAGGCCACAGGGTGAAACGTTGAACTTATAACCTATTTTATTGTGTTATAAATATTGAAATACCCAAGTCTCCAACATTTGTTGTTGTTGCTCTTTTTATTGTCGTGCTTACAACAACAACACTGATGACGATGATGACGATGATGATGATGGTGATAGTGATGATGATGATGATGATGATGATGATGATGATGATGATGATGATGATGATGATGATGATGATGATGATGATAGTTTTTTCCCCCCACAGTCTCAAAAGAAAGAATCAGTGAATCATGTGAGTATATTTTATATTATCACTGATCTACAAACACTTTACTTCAGGTTAAAAACCAGTTGATTTTGACTAATTAAGGTGTGTTTCATTTGTTAAAAATGATACTCATTTTTGATGCTTTGGACCAGTTTTTAAAAAAAAGATATAGCTTGGGGTAGATTTTAGTTACTTCATATTATATTTTTTAAATGGCAAAAAAACAATTGGGATCAATGATTTTTAAGGCTGAAAACCCCCCCCCCATTAAAATTTAGTAGTTGGATGCAACTACTATGAAGCATGGATGTCTTTTCAAAGTGTTATGATGTAACATGTTACTTGTTGCTTCACTGTAACCAGGTTTTTACTCAGCAAACAGCATTTTTCAGAGCCAGAACCAGCTTATTTTATCTATGCCAGTTTGTAGTCGTTATGCCTCACAGTTCTGTAAACAACCCTGGCAATTTCAGGGTTTTTTTATGAAGGCGAAATAACCTATACTGCACAGAAGAGAACGATAGCAAACTTTCAAAAGTCGAATTTTAGATGTGAAGTTGGTGACTAAAAAACAAAAGTTGGGTCCTTCACGTTTGCCGCAATACCTATACAACAAACCTCCACCAGTACTTGCAAAGAAAAAGAATACCAAAGCCTTGAAATACAAATAATAGTTTGGCGTGAACCATGCAATCTCCAGGCGAGATTACAGCTGCTTCTGTATTGTGCAACCAGCTAGAAAGAGAGTTGT